AGTTGCCAACAATGTTGTTGCAAGTTTTGTTGACAACTTGTTCATAGTGGGCAGCACAACCTTGTTCACACCTGTCAATATCACCGGGGAACAAGTTGTTGATTTTCTCAATTTTTATGTGTGTGCTGTTGTGCTTTTTATTACAGATTCAGAAACCATCACATATAGAAACCATCACATATAGAAACCATCAATATATCATATAGGATGTAGATATAGTATAGGTAAGGACTGTCCAATTTGTCCAAAGTATAAATCTATTACGGCAAATTATATATTAGAATCATGTACTGCATTTAATGACACGTCTCTTTCAAACTTTATGCTTTCAGAATCAGTTATAAAGTTTATATACTCTAGTATAGTGATATTTGATGAAGCCATATTTTAGTATTTATTTTGAGGAAGGTTTGAAAACTTTCGATTTCAGAGTTGCAAAACCTGTTCAAATTTCCTCCGGATAAAAGCTAGTCATTATTAATTAATTATTCATAAGGAAAATTAAAAAGAAATAAATGTTTAATTATTACCTTTAGATCGAATGCAAATTCGTCCTGATTTGCATGGTAGTACAATTATATAAATTATATGATATTATGATATAAAGTTTTATATACTCAATATACTAATATACTGTATTTCCTGGGAATAGGAAAGTATTTCCTGGCCTGTGTTCCAGATCTGTGACAATTTTCCCACCTCCAAAAAGACAAAAGAAAGTTGGTTATACTCCGCTTGCATATGTACGAGAAACGTGGACACATGACTTCTATGCGTTGAGCAATATGAAGCAAACACAGACACCTAATAAACATGAACAAGTTAAATTAATGAAAGCTGGTCTTGGACGAAAAAAGGTAGTTTGTCCTAACAAGAATGCAAGCCATACAGAATTTTGCCAGTTTCTAGAGGACAAATTTCCCAAATTAAAAGCTGGTGGAGGGTTTGAATTGTTGCGCTGTGGTGGTGTAGGTCTAAGACCGCTTGTTGTTGTGCCACCTGGTCCGTCTGGATATTGTGTGCCATATCTGAAGGAAAACTTTTCCCAAGCTGTTGTTTATGTGCGACCATTGCAAGTTAACTTGGATATTAACGAGGAACCATTCATGGTATTATAAGAAAGATTGTGCAATAGTGTATTTAATGCCATTTGATGTTTGAATAGTGATACTAATTAGCCTTTCTCACACCGCCATTTTTGGGGTACTGCCTTTTCCAACTCTGATATTGTACACAGTGAATAAGGGATTTGTACAGTTGGGCCTCCAGCTTGATAATGGGGGCAGGGGGGCGAATATTCATATCTTCGTGTTCTGCATTATTAACTTTTGAAATCGATTGTTTTTATGGTCTAGCTGTGAACACAGATATATGAATATTCGCCCCCCCCCAATTATCGAGCTGGCAGGGCCACTGGATTTGTATAATGACGAATTTAGCCTTTGTGAGAAAGGCTAATTGAATATGCGCAATTATTATTTACAGTAGTAATAATTATATTGTGAGTGGTCAATTAACAATTTCATAAACATACACTTTAGAGTTCATCAAGTGGGTGCCATAAAATTGCATGCGTATCATGTGGAGAACAGTATTCCTATTTTGACATGGTATCCAGGGCCGTAGCGAGGGGGTATTGGGGGGGGGGGTGGTTAACCCCCCAACTTTTGTAAAATTAATATATTCGGAAAATGAGGTTGGCCATTCGGAAAATTACGGCAATAATAGTATAACACTATAACAAAATTTCAGTTGTTTAGACAGAGAAAATCAGATTATAAAATGGTATTGTGATCAGTATAAGCTATAAACTGATTTACGAAATCACAGCATTTACATGGATAACATTTAACAAATCGTAAATCGGTAAATGTTTTTTTGGTTTATTACTTCTCAGGGCCGTAGCAAGGGGGGGGGGCGGGCTAGGGTAGCAACCCTTACAATAATTTGCTGATAATCACTCTTTTTTCAAAATCATGCAAACC